TCCCCACTTGTACTGAAGCTAGGACATTATTCTGAAAATATAAGGTTGTTAACTTGCCAAGCAAAGAGGCTGTGTGATACTTCCCTTGGCAAACTATCATCTGACCTTATGACTAAGTATTTCCAGTGAATTCCTAAATAGCTGTGTCTTTGAGTGGAAGTGCATCTCCTTATGAAACGTGCAATTTGTAATAAAGAATAAACTTTTATAAGATCTAAAGAGCTTGGATCCTGTTTTCAAAAGTCATAGAGGTGCTTAAATTATTTTTCAAAAAAATACATGTTGGATGTTACCAACAGTGAGTGCCCTAATCTGCCAAAAAGCTTCCTCCAGAAAACCTTTTTGTGCCTGGTAACATTCTGTTGTTTTGCATATTTTAGAAATATGGCTACACCCACCTCTCAGCAGGTGACCTTCTTCGAGATGAACGAAAAAGACCAGGATCTCAGTATGGAGAACTCATCGAAAATTACATTAAGGAGGGAGAAATTGTACCTGTTGAGATAACGATCAGCTTGTTGAGGAGGGTAAGGAACGTGAGCGTGGTTTTCCTGATTGCTCGCCTCTTCATGCTAAGAGCAAAAAGGAGGTAGTTGGAGAAAGAATTGCCATTCTTTTTGAAGTAAGCAAGAGGAAAATGATAGGCAAATGGATGCCTATTGTATAGTTTGCCTCTCGTAAAAATTGCATAGTTACGTACTGCCTGTTCTAGAAAGCAAGAGATCCAGTCCTTTATTATGTGAAGTGCAAAGAGAGCACTTGGCATGCTTTGTGATTTTTTTTTTTTTCCTCTTCCTTTTTTTTCTAATCTAACATGAGCTGAAAACTGAGAAACTCAATGCACAGTTTATTGTATAAGAATATGTTCCAGGATCTTGTAGTACATATATTTTCCAAACTAGATTTGTGCACAGTGGGAGATTTGGGAGCACATAACAAGTCGGAACACAGTCTGCAAGAATTGTAGAATAATGGATGAAGCCTATCAAGAATATTCTTTCTAAAGTTTTATTGGTCTCTTAAGAGCAGCAGTGAAATATTGAGAGTGCCGTTAAGACAGCGGAGGAATAAATTCTATACACCCACAATAGCCCACATTAAAACTGCTTTGTAACTTGTGCCAACATCTGGTGATAATGTAATAAGCAGATATAGTGTTTTGTGTAAAAGAGATTCTTGAACTGCACTCTGTTTATCAGGCTATGGATCAAACAATGGCTGCCAATGCCCAAAAGTACAAATTCTTGATTGATGGATTTCCCAGAAATGAAGACAATCTTCAAGGCTGGACTAAGACTATGGATGGAAAGGCAGACGTGTCTTTTGTTCTGTTTTTTGACTGCGACAATGAGGTAATGAAATATCATTACTTTGTGCCTTTCCCATGTATTGTATGATTGGAGACAGACGGCAAGAACATTAACTGTAGGTACTGACATCTTCAATATACATATGCATTAGCAACATCAGAAGAGACTCGTGGACTACAGAGACCAAGGCCACTATGCAAATATATAAACCAGTTGTTTTTGAGAAAGGAAATTACTAGTTATAATTGGCATCCTATTGACCAGCAAATCTGAACAGTTCATTTAATGAACATATAATCAAAAGCATTGTTTTATAAAGGTACACATCATGGTTTCTGAAAGACGAAATATTATCCGTCTACTGCCTGTAGTCTGATGTCTTTGTCTATTATAGAATCAGTGTGTCAGCAGCGTCCTGCGGGTATGCACATGTGTACCAAGCAGTTTCAAAAGAAAAGTAGCTGTTACGTTCCAGTTTGCTAGGTGCAGAAAAGCTAGGCACAATACAGATGTAGCAAAACAGCTCTAATTTTACCACTGGATGAGTTGGTGATCAAGTTGGAGCGGTTTTACTACATTTGTATCGTGCCCAACTTGACCACACCTAACAAAGTGGAACGTAACAGCTGGTGCCCTTCTGAAATGGTTCCATTGATATCGTCCAAGGTGCTGATAGAGCCAAGTATAAACTTTTCATAGTTGTAATCTTCAGTAAGATGCCAAATAATCAGCAGCTTTTCTAAATGAGTAACCAGATTACAAGGGCAATGTGACAGTGATGTATTAAATTAATTTAACAAACGTAAGACAGCTCATCTTGACAGCATGCACTGCCCTTGAAGTGTGAGGATTTGAGCTGCTCTAAAAAAGTTTTTCAAATCATTAAACTGACTTTTTTCCTAAAGTTTGTTTTCAGAAGTAAAAAAAATCTACACAATTTGTTTTCAGTCTCCAAGAAGAAGTGTGTGGATAAGTGTTTCTTGAATAGAAAGAACAAGTTAATTTTAAGAAAAACCTAAATAGTTTTCATGAAAATATCACGTAAGAAAAACCACCCACCCAGTGGACAGACACTGAGCAGGTTTTTAAAAATAACTGCCCCCTTAAACTGTCTCAAATTAGGCACTTTTTCACTCTTGAAAATTGAAGCCATTTTGCCTCCCCTCTCGCCCTCCACCCCCTCGTTTTTTCAAACCACAGGTTAAAGAAAACAACTGGAAAATCATAAACTAATTCCTGTTTCGTTTTTATTCGTCAGACCTTCCCTACTGTAACAAACTCAATTATGCAATATATATTTAAATGTTTTGTAAGTAACTTAAGCAAAATGTGAAGGTTTATTGTTAATTCTGTCTTTAAAGATGTGGAAAGTTCATGGCCACACCCTTTACTAATCCTTTTCATATCTGTTGTAGACATGTATTGACCGCTGCCTTGAAAGAGGAAAGAGCAGCGGTAGGAGTGATGACAACCGAGAGAGTCTACAAAAGAGGTATCACACGCAGAACTTCAGTTATGCTTTCTTTTTTTTTTCTTTTCATTTTGTAATGCGTCTCTCCTTTCTTCTAGAATTCAAAC